GAGAAGAACTTCCAGCCCAAATTAAAGTTTTTGCTGAACTGCTTAACTGGTGCTGGGTACACCACTCCTCCTCCCATCCCCAAATTATTTTGCTTTTGCAGTGCACCCTGCTGTAAGTTACAGTAGCTGTGATTTTGTTTTTAAACTGTGAAATAACATATCACAAGGGGATCTGGCGTTTTTTTTCAGAAGATTTCTGATCATGTAAAATGAAGGATCTACTTTTGAAACAAAGGGACTTAGAAATATTGATTGGTATTGGTTAAGTTTAATTAGCAGTTCAAAATACCTAATGAAACATGGAAAGCTCAACAGCTTTTTAAAAAATGAAAAATACATGTCCTGTTTGGTATAGTTAAAAAAAGAAAAAAACAGGAGTGTGGAGAGGTTTTATTACCACTTGAGAATACTTCAAGGCAGTATTTGGAAGTATTTTATGCAATAGAACCCTACAGATTTAATTTGGAAGTTTCATGAATTATAGTAATATCCTTTAAGGATCAACTTGTTATTTACTACATATATTTAAGCTTATTTCATGATTATAAAGTATTTCCTTCCACCTTAATCATAACTTAGTTACAAATTTGCACAACTAGTACGTATACATAAAAAGAATCTAAGAACCACCAACCCAGTGATTACTACTCAACATTGGGAGTGGGTGCAGAATTAATACCATTTATACCTGCAGGTCCTTTTTTGTTTGCTGAGAGATCCCTTTTAGCAATCAGTCACCAGTATGGGCAATGAACAGAAGCAAAATTGGGAAACTAGATGTACTAGAAAGCCATTTATTACATGTGTCTACAAAAAAAGAGGGTCTATTTAAAGTCTAGGCTTCTGAAATCTCGGCCCAAAGAGTTTTTACGATTAAGAGGTGTTAAGGGATGCAAGTGCATTCACCTTTCTGTAGACATAGGTCAAAATTAGGGTGAAAGTCCTGACAGTAGCTTGGACAGTGGACACAAAAGCTACTGTAATGGAAGCTAGGCTGTGGGCACAGGCTGCTTCCTGGTAAGAGGTTGTGTGCTCGTACCTCATTGTGCCTGATGCTGAATGTGGGATCAGAGAGCACTAACTGGACATAGAGCAGCCACAGAAATTGAGTTTATCCCTCGGTTTATGAGGCAGTAACCTGCTCACATGTCTATACCCAAAATACTTGCAGAACTCCACTGAAGTCAGCAAGGAGACACGAGGACCTTGAGCATCTGTGTAGGTGGAGCAAGTTGTAATACTGGACTTAGTCCTTTCAGTGGGAATGGCCTGGTTCAGAAAGGTGTTGAACGCCATATCTTTGAATATTGGGGATATTGTAGCTACAAAAATGTAGCTTTTTTTTTCCGTAGCAAAATATTGTATTTGTTTTGAAATGTGTGTAAGCAACATGACAGTGATGTACAATAGCACAAAAATTGCCTAAGATAACATGAACAGTCTATATAAAAAACCAAGGGATTTTAGGATTAAAAAAAATGAGGGAATGTGACTTTAACTTCCCCTGTTTAACTATAGTAAATCACAATGCAGTAGAAGAGTTTATTATATAGCATGTGTAGAAGTAGTTCTAAATAGGGAAGTGCCAACCAGTATTTTCAGTATCTTGGCTCTGCAGTTTTGACCCAGACACCTTAACTTACTTTTTTCATACTGGAATATAGTTATGGAATTACATGCATTTCTGTTGAAAAATGTTTATAAAAAGTGTTTTTGATAAAAGTTTATTTTATACAGCAAATTATATTTTGGAATTCTTTTTACCAGACACTGGGCTTATTCCCATCATCTTTGAAAGGCATCTTGCCATTGGTCTCAGTGGGAGCAAAATCAGATCTAAATTTTTTGAGAATTCTAGTATGAATTTGCTGTCTTGCAGTCTCAAATTGCCTTTGAAAAGCTAAATAGTAAAAATGTGTGTGAAACAATTACCTCCCACATTTCAGATCTTTAGATAAAAATTGCACATAAGGAACATATTATGTCAGGCTCATTACAGGAGGGGTTTGTTATATATTTTTTTTAATCCTGAAATACATTTGATATTTGCATATTTCTAGACAAAAGTGTAACAAAAATGACAGATTGGTCACCAATGGAACCAACATATTGTGTAGATGATGTTTTTGTGTTAGTAAAAGTCTGCTCGTTTTCTCTCTGCTCCAAAGTTTACTATGCAGTGTCGAATGAGTACAAACACCAAATGTACCTTTCTGTAGTCATTCATGCAGTTTGCAGTGTACTCATTCAAAACCAGCAGGGTGAATTTCATAAATGAGACAGTGAAAGGTGGTTTATCCTGTGTCTCACATTTATGCTGATACGGCATTTGAGTTTTTTCCAAATCCTAAAAGGTGCTGAAAGATTTTAACTTGAATTAAAACCAAAGAGTATGTTACTGGGAAGTTTTTATTATGCAACTAAAGGCTACAGATACATTGAAATGCCACTTGGTTTTGCAACTTTTTGGAAGGTTTTTCATTACTTCCTTCACTTCTCTTCCAAGAGTCTTAATTTCAGTAACTTTGCATCTTTATCTGAAGAGCTCTAATTTATAATATTCAGGCACTAGCTTTGTATTCTTCATTGCACTTTCATATTCTTGTGTTACATGCCCGTATTATGGTTGCAAGTTTATGTGAAAATGACTTGAATAAAATGTTTCAAGCGTTCTACTTGTTGAAGTATTATACTTACTAAATGCAGAGGCCAGATCCATCTCAATGAGAAAGCTTCAATTAAAGTTGTCATCAATATGAAAATGAGGAAGATTCTGTCATGCTGACATGGTCTCAAAAAAAATGTCACAAGTTAGAAATGAGAAAGAAGAAGTTGCAAGGCATGATAAATTACCTCCTGCCCTACACAAAGGTTTAACAACATGAAGGCATAACAGGATGAGGTATGGTTCATCCGGATATAAGTTTTACTTACCGTATTGGCTGTCTCTGTACGAACAGGAGCTTAGAAACCACTTTCAGAATTTCTGCTCCAACACCTTTACTTTAATGGAAGAACATGTGAGCAGTCCATGTTAGAAAGTCTACGTACTCTAGAAAATTGACTAGCACATTTAACAGTTACTCCAAAAACATTCTATCCTTTGTTATTTACATTCTCTGAGTACAAACCAACATCCTGCTGCCTCTTCAATCTGCACACTAAACTGATGAAATAGGCTGAATTGTGAAGCCTCTCTTGGCCCTTCACTGAGGATTAACAGAAGAGCACAGTTAAAAACTTTGTAATGTTCACTCTAGTAAGCAGTTGTCAAGCACTTAAAATATCAACTAATGGTACCCTTGGCTTTGAGTAAATGGAGACAAAAATAATGTAGCATCTTTTAAAATTCATAAAATAAATGTAGAATTATTTCAGATATAAACAATGCTGTGATGCTTTTTCTATAATTTAACAAAATGATACCTGTACTGACACATATTAGAGCTAAGAGGTTCAAACTGAGAATTCCTGCAAGTCCTATCCTTAGGGCATAGAATGTGGTGTGGATCACACTCCATGCAAACACAAAAATGCAGTAAAAAATGCATAATTATTGCAGAAGATATATTAAAATTTATTGAAAATAAAGCATCTCCTTGTTTCCAAGTATTTTCTATCAGCTACTCTCATTTTCACAGTAGGTAACCTGCCTAGTATTGCAAGTAACTGTCACCAGTTTGGAAAGCAGCCCAACACTTTTGGCTAAGAAACTTGCTGGAAGTATATATTCATTCAGGCTCTATTTCTCCTAATCTAATCAGTCCATAAAAACTGGTGAAATATTTATGCCTGTTGGTAAATCTTCAAACTCGTGCTATCAATAGTACACCTGTTTTTTTTTTTTTTTTTAAAAAAAAACCAGATTTAAACTAATACTGTCTTTAATACCAAAAAAATCTGAGATTGTTTCGTAAATGTGAAGTGAAAAAATTGTGTACCTGAAGCAGTCTAGTAGTATCTTGACAGTATGTACCCTGGCTGAGAACATTTCTTCTATGGTATGGTATTGAACTGGAAAGCACAGTTCTCAAGGTTTTTTAAATCTAATAATCACAGAATGAAATAACTTCCCATATCACTACAAAAATAAATTGGTAGTACTTTGTGAGAGGTCTCTGTCTAAACAGTATTACAGATATAAGTTATGTTAGAATCATGTATATACTGAAAATGTTATCTTGTTATGAGAAAATGTTCTGAACTTTATCAACCTCCAGGCAAGTTTACTGGGTTTATCAATCCACAAAAATATTGCCCAGTTGCATATAAAAAGTACTGTCAAGTCTCAACCATCATTACTTGTTTGTACAGTGCATTAAGGCTGTGATGCGGGTGAGTCACTAAGCACCAGCTCAAGTTGTAACCCATTAAAATATGAAGTAATGCCAGTAAATTAATTTTTCTTCTCTCATCTTTTTTCTTTTCTTTAAAGTTAAGACATCAGAAATTATTTTGAAGATGAAAAAAAGAGATGTTTTGATAAGTCAGGTTTCCTTCAGGAAGAATTCTATGGCCACAAATTACAGCTGTAAGAATGGAGTAAGAAACTTGCTCAAATGCCAAGACAAACCAATGCTCCTAGACCTCTAAGCACAAGCAAAAAACTACTTTAGAACATAAGCTCCTTAAAGTCTTTTGTTCCTTCCCCCTCCCAATTATTTGCATTATTTACAATCTTTAACTTTTTGGTCTTTAATGTGAATCAACTCTTAAAAGAGGGTGCTCATCTGCTAAAAGAAAGATAAGCTGTCCATGAAGAACTGGATTATAGCTGACAACATCTACCAAATGAAAATTTTCTTGCCTTTTATTGGTACCAGAGAAGTCACATACCAAACATTTGTTTGGCATAGCATTCAGCTAGGATTTATTTACTTACTTAGTTACAGCATTAAGGATTAGCACTGGCACCTGGAAAACTTTCAAGTTTGTATATAGCAGGTAAACGTATGGCATTTTCTACAAAATATGATCCTTCCCTACAAAACCACAATAAGCATGTTTTCATGTTTTTATTTTGATGATTCTGGTGTTAAATGTTGTTCCATATGGTACAGTGAGAATAACACAAAAACCACTGGGAAATGGAAAGTTATCTGAATTTCTAATTCCTCTGAGTGGCAATGGCATTCAGGAAATTGCTACATATACTGACATTTGTTTAGGATGAAGAAAAGAAAGCCTGAGTGGGACAAAGATGTGCCTAGATAATAAAACAAAATGGACCAACGTGAATCTTTAGTCTTCAAGAACTTAACATAGGATGGGAGAATGGGCAGAAAGTGCTGGGCTATAAATACTAAGATACAAAGTCTGCAGGGGGGAGAGAGAGGGAGAGAGAGAGAGAGAAGTGACCTTATCAGCAACAGAGTAAAACTGTATTAAAAAACCTAAACTTGTTCCTGCACTTTGCCTTTAATATCATTCCGAGTGGAATACACTGAAGTATTACACGGCAACTACATGTTCTAAACACATCCAATAATCCCCCTGTGAAGCTGCTGATGGTTAGGGAGTCATTGCTTAAGTCAGTCCTAAATACACATAATCACAAGGAACAGATGATGTAGGAAGAGACTTCTGGGTATCATTTAGTTCAAACCCACTGTCCAAGCGGGGTCATCTCGAGATGGTTACCCAGGACTGTGTGTCGTCAGGTTTCGAGTATCTCCAAGGATGGAGACTCCACAATCCTCTGGGCACTTGTGCCAGTGCTCCTTCACCCTCACAGTTGAAAGGTTTTTCTTGTTTAAGTGGAATTTCTTGCATTCCAGTTGTGCCCACTGCTTCTTGTCCTTAGCATCTTGGTCACCCTTTGCTGGACTTAACTCATCTGTCCTTGTCCCTTGTGTACTGGGGAGCCCAGATCTGGACCCAGCGCTTCAGATTTGGCCTCACCAGTGCTGAGTACATGGGCAAGGACCACCTCCCTCATCCTGCTGGCAACACTCTAATGCAGCCCAGGAGGCTGCTGACCTTCTTTGCCAAGACATAGAAAAAGACTGTTTTTCATAAGAATGTAATATATAGGAAGAACTTCTACACCTTAAGGTATTACAGATTTTACAAGCTTACATGGATTTAAGAGCAGACAAATCTGCAGAAAATAAATTCATTGAGGATTACTGAACACAGTAAGCTGCAATATCACAAGGTGTCCTTGAGCTATAAAACTGGAAGCTCAGCAAGCTGGAAGTTGGATGATGTATCACTGTATGCTTCCTCTATCCCTGTGCTTAAAGTATCCCTTTTCGACCACCACTGAAGCTATTAGATTAGATGGACATTTGGTCTTAGGCATTACAAAAGGCTATATGAATTGTACAGTGTATTATCTTACACCCACTGCAGTCATTTACTAAGTTTCTGAATTAATGATGAAAGATACAACATTAGGAAAGATAACTGTATTTAAAGAAACAAGACAAAGATTAATTACAAGTACAGAACTTGTTTCAATTAAACAGTAGGAAAAGTCCATGAAGAAAAACACAATAAAACTTTTACTTCGTATCCCAATCAAATGAACTCCCAAACTCGGAATGGCACTGAAATGTTTCTTAGTGCACAAAGACCTTACAGTTTTTCAGCATTCTTTCAGAAAGTCCAAGTCAGACATGTTGGAGCACCCAGATATATCCTCCAGGACAACAGTATTAAAGACACTCTTTCAGTTCTTCAAATCTGCAGTATAATCAAAAGACAGAGATCACAACTCACCAGGTCAGTATTTTATTGCTCTCCAGAAATTTTATCATGCATAATACTGACTGGCTTTTCCAGCTACCTGATACATTCATATATTTGTGAAGTCTCTTCAAGTTTAAGAATCTCTTAGTTTTTTCTCAGTTGAGATGCATTTGATATTACAGTCCTAGGATTATCACCTCAGTACTTTGTATTTTCCCCTCTCTTTTGACATCCAAGTCCTCATACAGTTTAAAGTACATTTTTACACAAACCCCCAAAACTCCAAAGATTCTGTACTATTTCTACGTGTCACAAAGGGTGTTCCTACAAACCATTCATTCACATTGGGGTCTATTTCATAAATGGTGGCACTACATAATGGGACTTATGATCTGACACTGTATGATCTTCAACATTAATCAACAGACAGCACATTGAATAAATGAAGCAATCTTCATTATTAACAGATGGTAATTTCTAGCAGTTGCTATTTTATACATTGCAAAGGATCAGGACAGCATCACAAAAATGTTCAAACAGCAGTTGGAACTTTGTAAGAAAATACCATGGGATGCAAATCTGCAAGAATCATTTTCTAAAATCTCAATTTACAAATAGTCTAGTCATCAAATTTAATCTTTTTCCCTTGGAATGCTGTAATTTGAGAAATTTGTTCCCGGCGTCTCTTGCTTGCTTCCCATGATGGATGAAGAGGTTGCTCCAAACATGCTCTCTTATTGTCGTACTTAGCACCTGCAGCTTTTGCAAATGGTTTCTTCTTGAGCTCTGGTTCCTTTTTAAGAAGAGCTGTGCAAGAAGCAGAAAATAAAATATTAACTACATCATGAACCTTCATAAAAATATGCTAAAACTACTTTGGGATTTCAGATATTTTCAAGAATCTTTTAATGAGCCATGGCAAACAGGTTAATCTGACTGTTCACAGCAAGATTTCCTCATCTTGCAACTCAGAAAATACTCACTTGTAGACTGCAGGTAGTTAAGATTTATTATTACTGACCACATTCCACATCTGTATAAACAAATACTCAGCACAATCTCAACTTTTTTCTTCACAATAAACCAATGAGATATTACACAATATAACTCAATATAACTGAAATGATATCCTTGATGCAATGGAACCATATACTGTAAATGGAATAAAATATTGAAGGAATTACAAGATAAACTACTTGTTAAATACAATCTCACATCTTCCCCTGTGCATAGGTAACAGTACCTGCTCAACATGAAAACTAACAGAAAATCACTTAGTTGTGTAAACCCTACTTTAAGTATTTCTAGTAGTAAAAAATAGGAAATAGCAAACAATATCCACAGATTAGAATAAAAGGTCAACATTTTTAGCATTTAAACAACAAATGTTAAAATATGTGACACAAGTTCAAAATGAAAGAAAAAACAATCTATCACAACTAGACTGCAGATGCAACAAAATCTCAAGATGTTTTTAATCTTATAACTGTACCAGGTTAAGTAATACATACCTGTTCCTCCATTTTTGAGATGTTGGTCTTTAGTATTTCTAAAAATAAAAAGAGAATGTAGGATTTTTCAAGATATGACAAACACCCGTGAACAAAGAAACACCATTACCAAAACACTCATGCAATGACTTTACAAGCATAATGTGCAAAACTCTTCCCTCTTAGTTAATAAAGAAGTGAAATAAGAAGTATTCAATAGTGATTTAATTTGGATGCAGGTCTAATTAGGAATCCCATGTGCATGTCAGTGCTAATGTGAATATGAAAAATATGTAAGGGTCAAGAAAGCACAAGACGACTGCAGAACAGTTTATGTGAAAATGTTCTAAGCTGTAATTAGAAGTTCTCCTTGATCGATAAGGGCTACTAAAAATCACAACAATTTCTGTTACAAGAAGGAGGAAGGGAATGGAGAACACAACAGGGGGAAAAGGTTTACCTTTTTCTGTTTTGAGATTTCTGATTAGAGGTAGACAAAGAACTGCAGAACATTGATTCTAGCTTGCCTGCTTTTGCACGTGGCTTGCTTTCTTCCATGATCAAATCTTGCGCTGTCCCAAGCACTGTGTTCTTTTCTTTCTTCACTATGTTTTTCTGTAGTCTATCTTTTACTTTTGCTGAGGAAAGATCAGTAACTGCTGCTACTTTTTTCTTTCTTTTTACTTTGCCAATGAAGAAATCATCACTGCTGTCACTGTCAGAATCTGACGACTGGTTATAAAACCTCTCTTCAGTACTATCATCAAAGTACTCTTCATTAGGATGTTCCTGATCACTATCATCATTAATTATTTCTTTTATTTCATTTAATTTGTTCATGCTCATATTTTCTTTCAATTTTTGATAGCCAAGTTTCCTTACTGTTTTATTCTGAGTGACTGCTTGCATTTCTACTGCCTGAAATGAAGATTCTTCTGGAGGGTATATTCTGTCCATTTCCACAATTTTCTGCTCAGATTCACTCTCATAAACTTCTTCAGCCACCCTATCAGTTTCTATTTTCATACTTATTTTTGATTTGTGTTCACATCCTTGCTGTTTTTGAGCTAGTTTAACAGCTTGATTATCGAAATTGCTATTGAAATGTTGTGCTGATTTAGATTGTTCTTCTGACTTAGCCTTTTTTGAAGGAGTGGCTTTGGTGAGGTTCTTTCTTGCGTCTTTAAAAGCTTTTACAGCAGCTATACAAGAGGCAGAAGAAAAAGGTTTTGTTGCAGCTACACGTGAGTTTACATAATTTTTAAAAATAAAACAATTTTGCAAGTTTAATATGTTATATTGAGTAAGCATATTTTTAATGTCCTTATCAAATCACCTACCGAACACATGGGGCAAGAAATACCTTAGAATACAGCATCAACAAAAGTGAGGAAAATAACTTGAAATTATTACCAACTGAACTGGGTTTAACTGCAAACCTCTTTCAGTAAAATAATTTGCAGCTGATAATCATGTTCATTTAGGGCATTACTTTGTGTGTAAAAACTGCAAACAAATAGTAAGTTGCTAAGATATAATTAAATGAGTATTTGGCATGCTCTGTTATTAACAAGATGGCTTAGTGACATTATCACTAGGACTTGACCCTTTTTAATATAATTTTTAGTTGAAAAATTTGAGTTTAAAGACAACAAGAGATAACCTAAACAACCAGGAAAGATTCCCTAAGGATTCTGGGAATGGTTTCCAGGAAAGTTTAAGGGAGTCATTTGCAAAACCTTTTAGTTGGCTTTGGAAACCCAGTTGTAATGCTCCTTCTATCCTTGTATCTGCATGGTATTGTGCTCATTGACAGTTAAGTCCAATTTAATTTAATGATACTCCATTATATCAATTTGATTTTTAGATTTCTCATTACAAGCCCTGTTTGTCCTACACCCTTTATTTTAAATGTCATATAGCACACTGTCACGTATAAGTCCATTTCAACTACAGAAATGCTTACAAGCTTGTGACACTTGGTTCTCTGCAGCCAGTTAAGGTAATTACAGGAACTTTTTGGTTTTTTACTTTTTATATTGGTTGATCATGTCAGGAATACACAGGGAAAGTACCACACGTAAGCTACTGAAGTCAAACAATAAAATATTTCATACCTTTAAGTTCAGCAAATCTGGGTTTCAAGATGGGGTGTGTTGCAAGTCTTGCAATGGCTCGCTCAGTTGCAGTACAATTTGGCTATATAAATAAATTCAAAATAAATTCAAAGGCGTGAAGTCAATAGAACAGTGAATATTTACAGAGGTCTGAATCAGTTATGCTACAATGCATACTAATGTGATTCTGGACTATTAACTGAACAAGATGAAAAGCTTATGACACTCTGGTATTTGAATATTTATTTTTCATGTATTACTGTCATTCTAAATGAGGAAAATCTGACTGCTTATCATTGATAAAAATGTAAGAGACATATACATCTGCTATTTCTCAGGTACAGAAGAGGGATAACATGATTTTTATTTTAAACGCATACCAGACACATCTTCCAGAGCTAACACACTGATTTTACATTCACTATTTGTTACACACTGTCACAAACAAGAAACTGTTACTGTTTGTAAAGAGGATGTAGACAACTCAAGTGGGACGCCCTGTGGGGTTTCTTTCCCCCTCCCTCCTGTTGTTGCCCAGAGACAGAATTTAGGCTTAACTGCACATGTACAAGCTAGAGAAACTGAGAACCTTCTGGAACAACCTATAGCTCATGCGTAAGAAAGACTATACAAAGGCAACACCCCATGTGTGTCTTTGTCGACCCATCACCTACGGACCAAGCTCGCTACTCCGTGACAACGCAGGATCCAAGGGTGGCGATTTCCCCTCTTCCTATCCCCTCGCCTTCTCTTTTTGTATTGTAGGAAAGTTTTGTAGGATTTGAATTGCAAACAGTCCACGCCAAAGTGCCTTTATTAATTCTGTGTATGGTTATCAGTTGATTGTCACTAAACTGTCTCCATTTATTCACTGAAGTGATCAGTCAGTACAGTCAGCAGCACAATTATTCCTCTGAGTCATTGTGGTGACTCGGCCTGCCCTTCCACTCTGCCGAGCAGAGCTTGGCTCTTCCACCCACACGCAGCCTCTTGGGGAATTCAAAAGATTCACCCCCTTGTAACCCACCGCATAGGACGAGACACACATGCAAAGCAAATTCATGAACAGGGCGTGCCTAACATCTGCTCACGGATGGGAAGTAGCAAATAAATCCTTACTCTCTTTTTCATGTACACACAGCTTTGCTTCTCATATTGAACTGTCTTTATCTTAAGCCACTAGTTTTCCCCACTTTGGCTCTTCTGATGCTATCCTCATCCTGCAGGATGTGCGCAGCTGCTGAGCGCTTAGTTGCTGGCTGTGGTCAAACCATGACACAAACACTATCTAACACATCAGCAATGCATGTTTAAAGTATCTGCTTTGCTTGACATAAGGGGACTCAGTGGGAAAGCTTGTTTTAATGTACATTTTCTTCCAGCAGAATTATGCCACTTAAACAGTTATGTATTCACTGCATAAAGACAGATGGATACTTCATGCCAACTACTAGTGAAGAAGAGTCACATTCAGTGCCTTCTTCTAAAGGAAATGGAGCAGAAGACAAGACTACAGCTACAGCAGAGCCAGTACTTCTAAATGTAGAAACATTTAATTGGTTTGCAAAATGTACATCTTGTTCCTCAACCAATGTAAAGCAAATTCCATTTGTATTTCTTTTGCCATAGTTCTAGAGCTTATAAAATACACTCTGGGTATGTCCGGTCATATTTTATGTTTGAAGTGTGCATCTGGGAATTCTAGTACTTTCCTTTCTCCTCAAGTCTTTGCTATTACAATGTTATTTCTTCAGGTCAAAAAAAAAAAGGAAAAGTATTTTCTCTGTAGACTGTCTACAGAACTATGAACACTGGCCAGAGGAGACGGGTCAAAAGACGGGTCCATTTCCAAGGGCCACAGACTGGCTTACTTTTAGTCTAGCCTAGCTCTGAGAACTTGAAATCTGAATTTTGATCCCCATGTGACAGTGCTGCATGCTGCCACCAGATTCCTGGGAGAGCAAGCTTACATTTCTGAAGATCAAACACTATTTTCTTTGGAGATTTTTCTATAGCTGGAAAATCTATTTCTGAACTTAATTAATACACTTTCTCCCTCAGTTACTTCCTGTGGGTTTTGAAAGAATATACCATGAAGTTCAGAAAGCAGCAGCAGCTTCTGTGCAACATCTGGTGTCCTTTAATTCAAGTATTTATAGAAAGGGTGTACATGCCAATCCATATGGAATAACCATATTTTTTCCTTATAGCAAAATACTTCACAAACACTACTCACACTGATAGACAGTAGCCAACAAACATACACTATGACATTCACATTCTTTAAAATTTCCCATTTTTCTGGGTTTTTGGCACATTCAATGCTCAATTTATTTTTCCTTACGTATTTTCCAGTACATAAAACCTTGGCAGAAAATAAAACTTAACAGAAAAACATCAACTATATTTACAGCAAGAACACCCTTTCCGCCTCCTTGGCCCCCTAGTATGTTTAATTATGTAGATACTAGAATTGTACACATATATTCTCACATGTTCCTGCTACTTCTTATATTATTTCACACTGCAGTTTCACACATTGCTTCATGCAAGAATGTCCTAGTAATTTCCATAGGAACACTATTCCTTCAGTGTGCAACTGAAGCACTGCAAAGTGAAGAAGACAACTGAGCAGTGTTTAATCACACTTTTCAGTGAGAAGCTGGTAAGCTACATGCTGAACAACCTGAAAGTCAAGATCTTGTCTCCTCAAACTTTTTATACTGGTAAATGATGCACTGCTTCTGTATATAGTATTAAAGATGTCTATCCATCAGCACTGACATATTTCATTAAAATTCATGTGGACATTTAACTGAATTAGCTGCACTGACCTCTGTATTTTCAAATCTCTTAAAATTAAAAGAAATCCAAACTGCATAAACAAGCATTTTCCATCCTGAATAGTAGATGTGCACACAGGTGCACAAACCTCAAAAACATAACTTACCAGTTATAGCAGAATAGAGCAGCAGTTGTGTATGTGTAACTTATACATGTGCAAACACACATGCATGCCCTACATAAGAGACACAAACTTTGTACAATGTGGCAATGATTGGGAAGATACAAACAGATTCACAATGAATTTTTGAGATGTGCTGGAGTAGGGGTCAGAAGAAGTATGGAATGACTCTAGGAGCTGGAAGAACTGGGTAAAAAAAAAGTCAGACAGAAGTTGTGTGGGTAGTACCTGCTTCATACAATACAGGTGATAAAGCGAGAATGAGAAAATGAGTGTCTCACGGCCCTGGGGCAGATAAAATTGCAGGAGATAGAAGGGATACCTTATCAACACGCGTGAGACAGTAGAGCTTCAGGAAGAATTAATTAGAAGGCAGAAGCCTGGGATTAATTTGGGAACATGAAATGGAGACTTTGGACCATCACTTCATTCCTGTTCACATCTACTTTTGTTCATACCCACTCTGATATAACTATGATGAATAATAGGGAAGAAAGAGGTCATACTCTATTCTTCAATTTGCTTTTGTATAGAAGGCCTTGTTACAGGTCTCACCAGAAACAGGACTGCTCCTAAAACTTCAACATTCTAGTAGCAAAGGGTCAAAGGACATTGCTACTAAACTGGTATTGCTTGGTGGCCCTGTATCTGCCACTTTAGATCATCTCAGTTATTTAAAATAATGACAATCAAATGGAGACAGTCAGAAACCCCACAGACAAGTATGCAGTATATGGCAAGAGTCATGACATAAAAAGTAGCCTTGAAGTATGTCATACTCAAGTTTCTAAACTAACTAGAAGAGCATTTAATGTTGAGTGTAACAAGTCTGATTTTATGAAAAAAAAAAGACAGAAATAATGCTAACCAAGGTAAGTGTAAAAAAAAAAAAAATCCCCAATTCTGGGCCAAAACAAGACGTCATCGCAAATGCCCTTTGTAACAGCTTAGGATAAGAGCTGTCTCTCTACTGAAAAAAAAACCAAACCCAAACCAGAAAACCTGTTAATCCACACGTTCTTCCCAGAGCTCTAACTAGTTACAGCTGTCCTTCATTATAACAGATGTGGTTAATGTGGAGTCACAGGGTGGCTGAAGGTGCCAGATTGTGGCTGCCATCCAAGTCTATCCCATGACCTCATACTGCTTTGGAATAAGACCCTTGAGAAAAGTTATGTTCTGACTGTGAATGTTGCTAGTTCTCCCTCTTTATGTCTGTAAGACAGAGTATGTGATCTGTGGCTGCCAGACATGGTGAAGATTCTTCTATGAGGGGCAATTAGTTATTGGTATCACACATAGCAGCATTGTTGTCTCTGAGTTCCCAACAGCAAGAGATTGTTGACCCTGGCTGGACACCAGGTGCTCACCAAAACTGCTCTATCAGTCCTCCTCCTCAGCTGCTCAGGGGCCTGTTGTCTCTGCTGCTCCTTCCTCCTCAGGGGGAAGACGACTCATGCTCTTCCTCAGCTCCAGTGGGGCCCCTCCCAAAGGAGACAGTCCTCCTTGAACTTCTCCAACATGAGTCCTTCCCACAGGCTGCTGTTCTTCATGAACTGCTCCAGCGTGGGCCCTCCCATGGGGTGCAGTCCTTCATGAAGAGACTGCTCCACCATGGGTACCCCATGGGGTCACAAGTCCTGCCAGGAAACCTGCTCCAGCATGGGCTTCTCACAGGGTCATAGCCTCCTCCAGGCATCCACCTGCTCCAGCGTGGGGTCCTCCATGGTCTGCAGGGGGACAGGGACAGCTTGCCTCACCATAGTCTTCACCACAGGCTGCAGGGGAATCTCTGGTGCCTGGAGCACCTCCTCCCCCTTCTGCTTCACTGACCCTGGTGTCTGCAGAGTTGTTTCTCTCACATATTCTCAGTCCTCTCTCCAGCTGCAGTTGTTGTGCAGGGTTTTTTTTCCCCCTTCTTAAATATGTTATCACATAGGTGCTACCACCATTGTTGATGTGCTCAGCCTTGGCCAACGGCGAGTCCACCTTGGAGCCATCTGGAATTATCTCTACTGGACACAGAGGAAGCTTCTACCACTTTCTCACAGAAGCCACCCCTGTAGCCCTGCCTGCTACCAAAACCTTGGCACGCAAACCTGATACACTCACCTTGA